TGCAAATCAATTCATATTGTGTGTATTAAAAGCGTCAATTCAAATTTAATATTTCTTACAGAAAAATTTTTACAGTAAAACAACAAGATTGTCTTTTCTCAATTGCAATTATATATTTGTACAGATACCGTCCCAAGTCAGTTTCCAAATTACCCTCGTTACATGACAACCAACGACACACCTAAGCATCTAGCTCCAGAAATAAAGCGAATGAAATTAGAGCACATCACGATTGAGTTTGAAAATTGGATTTTCTAGTCTCGACGAACTCTACGCAAAGATAAAAGAACACATTGATCTGCAAAAGTAGATTGTTTCAAGCAGGGACAACATTCTTGACATACTTTACAGTGAAGATATTTCATACCCAAATGTGAAATGTTGTGTGCGAGTGTCAGAAGATTTCACTTTAAGATTGTTTTATGGATCGCGGGAGGTGACAAAACTAAACGACAAGAAATTCAATTTTCCGTTCATCGTGAATTCGGTCTTTGAAATCGAAGACATTCTCTATCAAGCGTTGATATCATTGGACAAAAAATATAAAGACAGCTCAGCAATAAATAACATTAATGCGTGCATCAATATTTTGAATACTTTGTTGATGACATTACCGCAGCGAAAGTGTTATCAAGTTCTTGTTGCAGCAGATAAAAATCTTGAATACTTCGAGTAAAGGCGCCTTTCGATATTAGTTGAAAACAATCTTGTTTTGTGGATTACTAACTGCATTCGATTTCTCTACACGCGTACAAATTTCTTTGCAATTCAGGACATTTATTACTACCATCCTTAATGATAATAAAAAGAATGTGCAGTAACTTCTCCAGTAATCCTCAGGTGGAGCAAAACGAATCAACGTTGCCTTGGTCGAAATTTAAACTGCTTTCTGATAAAACGGTAACTCTTATAATTGACGAAATTTATATAAAACCGTATGGATTATAAAGGCGGAAATTTGTTGGGAAAGCTTTTAATAGTGCTCACTTTTTCATAGTGAACAGTTTATTATCAACGTATCGCGATATCTTGCCTGTATAAAAAACACTGTACGAGTATTGCAAAGTTTTTTTAACAGCGAATGAAATCACAACATTTTCTAATTTAATAGACGCGAATAATCGAGGAGGATTATGTTATCCACACGAAGACGTTCTGATATGTGCAGCATACGCATTAGTTATCATTCAAAAATTACTCGAAAACGAGCGCGAATTTCCAAATCAACTAAATCAGCGCGAAATTATGAAAACTCTTCTATTTGAAAGTTTATCTGACTTGAATTTTGAATTATTTTTAGGTCACTGTTGTCCGAAACATGCAATACGAAATGTAATAATTAAAATATCACATACAATCGAATACTTTTTTAAATAATTACAAAACGATTCTGTGAAACAAAAACAAATGCCGAATTTTAAAAGAATAAAACCAAATACAAGATAAAAGATTTTTTATGAATTATAATTTTCTTTAAATTTAATCCCTTTATTACCTATCTCTTTATTAATCTGATTAATAACTCAAATATTTATGCATCTTCATAAAAAACGTGAAATAAAAATTTCACTCGAACATGCAATTTGTATATTACCGCCATACAGCGCGTACACTACTCGGCGGCCAAGCCTCGGCCTCTACTAGTGATGACGTCACAATTTTCACAATTTCAGTGGAGAGGCCTTGTCTATAGGAGATGTGAATTTTGCTCTTCTACAGCGTCGTCGACGGGTACACACGCCCAAAAATGCCCGTTCAATAATCATCGATAATCAAAGATTACAGCGCAAATATCACAACTCGTCCGAGACTCGCTTCCTTCGACTGGTATGTTTATCGGCGGTCTATCACATATATAGGTTAGAAGTATGAAGAACCTGATCAGTATTTTGAAGATACTTTTCCTGAATCACGCGCGTGGATTGTCCTACACCGTGATGATGACACTCTTGCTGTGCTATTGTCTTCATCCAGCACGATTCGCTTCTCACTACGCCTTCATCAAGACGGAAAATATCTATGGCGAAATGGAGAAATCATACCCATCGAGGGACAACTCCTGTGTGATTTCCATCAGCGGTAAACGATTCTCCCAGCTATTCTATCCGGAGGAGCATCCCAGGGAAGACCCAGTGGTGATGGCACGTCGGCTCGGTATTTTACCAGGCGGCCAGTGGAAGCCATTTAATTGCCATCCTCTCTTCAACGTGGCTATTATACTGCCCTATCGCAACCGACAGAGTCAGCTTGCCATTTTTATGAATTATATACATCCCTTCCTGCAGTCGCAGAATCTGGATTATCGGATATTTGTAATCGAGCAGAGTCCAATGCGCGAGTTCAATCGCGCTAAGCTTTTCAATGTTGGTTATGCCGAGGCCACCAAAATCAATGATTTCCATTGTTTTATTTTCCAAGATATTGATTTGATACCACAGAATCCTGATAACATCTACGCATGCACCAAAATGCCTAGGCATATGAGCTCCAGTGTAAATACTTTTCGATACAATTTACCTTATACTGGCTTGTTTGGAGGCGCGATAGCATTGACGAGGAAGCAATTTGAAAGAGTAAATGGATTTTCTAATGTGTTCTACGGTTGGGGTGGAGAAGATGATGATTTCTACAGCCGTTTGCAATCCAGAGGTTTTCAGGTTTCGTCGATTTAAATCTGTGCTTATTTTTTCAAGTAATTCAAGTTATATAATTTGTTTTGTTTTCTACAGGTCACACGCTTTGGACCTGATGTAGCACAGTATTATATGCTGACACATAAGAAGGAACCTCCCAGTACTACGAGATTCGCAAATTTGGAAAGCGGCGCTCGAAGATATGATACTGATGGACTGAGCAATCTAGAATACAGAGTATTAAATCATCAGTTGCGACCATTATATTCTTGGATTTTAGCTGATGTGTAATTTACAAGTATTTTTTTATCTAATATTACCATATAT